ACAGGAGAAAAGACCTGGCAATCTGTCCCCATATAGATCACAGCCTGGAAACACTACGGGGTAGTTTGACTTTGTCCTACAGGGTCGCTGAGTGGGAATCAGTTTGAAGCAGACAACGATGATAAGTCTGCGCTTGGAATTTTTGAAAGGGATGGAGGGAACAACAGGATAAAAGCAACAAACCCTTAGGGATTCCCTCTTCCTGCCACGCACGCTGCACACAGTCACTCAGTTCAATCCCAGAAACGCCCAGGAGGGAAAACTGAGGACGTTCCAGGAATGCTAGGTCTTGGCTCAGATTCTTGAGGACAAATCAGGGCTAGACTGTAGCTCACTGGCTGACATAACTCACAGTGCCCCCAAGCAGAATGGCAGAGTTGACAAGGCATGGCTGTAGTCAGAAGTTGTGGGTTAAAGTCCCAGATCCACCACTCAGTACCCATGTCCTTGGGGTGTACTTTAAACCTCACTCAGTTTCTTCATCTGTAAGATGAAACAAATACCCTTTCTTGCCTACCGCTTTCAGTACACAAAAAGAACAACACTGGTAAAGGTCCTATGGACTCCAATTTCATGCATATACGATTATTAATAGTAGTATTTTTAATTGACACTGTGTTTAACATTCAAACTACAAAGACTCAGATTCTGAAATGTTTAAAAATAAATATGTATGTGATAAGAAGCAGTCTATAGCTAAAAGAGCCCATGGACGCAGCAGTCAAGGAATGAGACATTTTATTGCACTGGGCAAATTTGCTGCAAAAGACCTATGTAGAGTGTTAAAGAACAAAGATGTCACTTTCAAGACCAAGGTGTCCCCTGACCCAAGCCATAAAATTTTCAATAGCGTCATACACATATGAAAGCTGGACAAAGAGTAAGGAAGACCAAAGAAGAATTGATGCGTTTGAATTGTGGCGCTGGAGAAGAATAATGAATATACCATGGACTGCCTTGGAAGGACAGACAGAATGCCCCTTAGAAGTGAAAATGGCCAGAGTTGTCTCATATACTTTGGTCATGGTGTCAGAGGGACCAGTCCCTAGAGAATGATATGCTTGGTAAAGCAGAAGGTCAGTGGAAAGAGGGAAGACCTCAGAAGATGGCTTGACACAGTGCCTGCCACAGTGGGCTCAAGCACAGCAAGGATTCTGAGGATGACGCAAGACCGGACAATGTTTCACTCTGTTGTACATGTTGCTATGAGTCCAAGTGGACTCAAAGTCACCTAACAACAACAGCAATAGCAGCAGCTGAAAGTGGGAAGTAACAAAAAACCCCCAAGAGACATAAAACAGCTTTAAGGCTATTGATTTTCTGTCCAGCTCCTTGAAATTTGCTGGAAAACGAAACAAAACACAACACTTGGTTGCATTTACTATATTGACTTTCTTGACCACATTGTTCTGAAACTCCTAATTGTCCTTACCACAGCACAGCAGGCAATAACCAGTTTTCACACATTCATTTCGGCCTCCCTTCCTTACCCACATTGGAAACATGCATATTTTTGTGGAGCTCTATCAACCCAACTTCCATCTTTCACCAGATGATACAAATGGCCACAGCCCATCACTGAACTTTTTATAGCCCAAGCCAAGTGTGTCTTCAGACTCCCAGCATTTGCTTTTATACCAAAACAAACCAAATCTATTGATGTCAAACTGTCCACAGCATCTTCACTGCAATGAGATAAGACAGACAATGTCATTTATACGCACCCACAGACATGTCTGCCATCTTGCACTGCAAACCTTGCATGGCAGAGCCTTGAATATGCATGCCATAATGTATCTACTGATGAGGTCCCCAAGGGTCTGCCTGGCAGTGGTTCAGTTTTCCTCTTTCCTATCTCCTGAGTGGCTAAGAGTGACCGGGGGCGGGGGGGGGGTTCTTCTCTGTGCTCAGGTTTGGTAAGTCTTACTCAGACTTGATGATTTCTGACCCAAAGCTCCTGGGACTGAGGACTTCTTGAGGACACTAATGTTGTCATTATTCCTGTCACCTCGCACCTTGCCTACTTTGCAGGAGGTACTGTTCTCCCTTCTAACGTTGATGACTTCACCTGGCCTGAGTAGCCTATAGTGGGAACCACTTACAACAAAGGAAAATCATCCTTCTCCTCCACACAAAAGGTCAATGTGTATCTGGAATTCAGATTATAAACGGGATTTAACCAAGCCTTCTCATCTGTATCAGAATGAAAGTCAGCATGGCATTCTGTAAATGTAACAAAGGAAACTGTTGCACCTTTCTACTGTTGACTTAACTGAAGATGTAAGCATTTCTCTCCCTGGAGCACCATAAGCTCAACAGCCTGCATCCCCTACCACTGCTAAGAGCAAGAATCAGAAGCCACCCTTCCAAGTCACCTTTAATAATGCAGGAAAGATGCAATCATCTGCTGGCAATGGCTGCTCCCATACACTGGGCACCAGACAGCATTCTCTGGCTCCAGAAGCTTCACATTTAGAATGGTAGTAAAAGGTGGAACAGTCTTGTGGCTTCAGACTCCCATCGTAGCTTAGCTAACCCCCACCCTTTCAATGTTACTGCAAACAGACTGTGTTGGATTGGGTTCTCTAGAGAAACACAAAAACCAGCAAAGTGTATACATATATTTATAGAGAGAGAAAGAGAGAGAGAGAGAGATTTATCTTAGGTAAATGGCTCACAAGCATGTAGAAGCCAACAAGTTCAAGCTGAAAAGTTCGTCTCTGGAGGGGGATGGGGCCCAGAGCCGCCTGGCTTTCGCACGCATGGCAGAGGAATTCAAGCCACAAAGTTCGTCTCTGGAGGGGGATGGGGCCCAGAGCTGCCTGGTTCCCGTAAGCACAACAAAGCCGAGAGAATCAAGCTGACATGCAGCATGCTGGTCGCTGTTCCCAACAAAGAATGAATCTGAAAACCTCCAGGGCAAGCAGGGAGCTGCTCGCTCCAGGAAGTATATAGTCCGGAATGCCGTTCTTCCAGCCTGTCCCTGGGACAGCATTGCAGGTAGGCCACACCCCTGGGGAAAACTCCCCTTGGGCAGACTAGCCGCTCAGAACCCAGTCATGTGATCCATCATGGGAACCACCACTCACAACTGGAGTCCAGCCAAGTTGACACATCTTCAACTATCACAGTCCACCTCTTGTCAACTTG